TTTTAACCACAGATCATTGCTTCTCCCTTTCACCTTCTCTCCCATGTGTTATTTGTCTTCTCAGAACAGATGCTCCTTAGGGCTAGGGACTGGCTTGTCAGCTATTTGTACAGTCTGCAGGGCAGCAGAGCTCTGACCCCAGCTAGAGCTCCAGGGCAGTATGACAACATGTGCCAAGGGAGGTTCTCTAGCGAGAAGGTACTGAGTCACAGGACAAGTATTCAATGCCCTCACGCTGTTTGATTCAACCCTTTTATCCCGGACACTGCTCACGCCTTTCCCCTTTATATTCAACCACTGAAACCAGTGTGTGGAAGGAGACCTTCACAAGTCAGCTCAGACCCATACATCACTGCGGAAGTGGACAGAATCCTGGGCCCCTCAGCTGTGTCTGCCCACTTACCTGCTTGTTGGACTCAGATCTGAGACTGATTGGCATCACGTAAGCTGGACAGAGACAGAAGCATGGATTTGTCACAGCTCCAGACTCTCATTAAATGTCACCCATGGCCAACACAGCTGTCATTTGGGCTGAAAGTGAATGACAGGCACCTCGCTCCCACCTCTGCAAGTTACTGTATCTTAACTCCAACAGGCCTTCTGGACTTTGGGAGATAATTGTGCTTGCTAACGAAGGTATAAACGTGCTCTCAGTTTACTTAGTACTTCCTTTACAAATGACCTGTTTGGCTGATAGGGCCTGTATGGTAAGAAGTGACAAAAGCTCACAGCACCTGACTTATAATCTACTTCTTTTGCCTTCTCACCTTGACAGCACTTGACCTTTGTTAGCTTGGCTTACTCATCTCTTCAAGAGCAGTATTGAGCGTCTCAGTCCCATCTTTTGAGGAACTAAGAGCAACACAAATATTAGAACTATTCCCAAGCATTTCTCAGACACAAACGAAGCAGATTTCCATTATCAGAAAGACAATTAGTTCTATGTCTTGGTAGGGAAAAAGAGCTTTTGAGAAGCCTGTTGTGATAGTTTGATGTGTGGG